AAAATCGCGCAATGTGATCTCGCGTGAGGTTGTGAATAAATGCTAGTTTGACCTCGCGCGAGGTACATCTCTAATCACGACTACACTCAATAAAATTAAAATATATAGCTTGTATAAAATCTTTACATGTAACTATATAGTAAAGCTAGTACGTACCAGTTATTTTTTTTTCCTAATTCTCTTATTTAAACTCTTAAGTACGTACGTACTTAAGAGTTTTAATAATCACAAAAATAAGAGAATTAGGAAAAAAAAAAATAACTGGTATATACTATGTTGATCCTAACTGCTAACAGTTTTTGGAAATAATTAACCGTAATGCGGGCCAAAAACTGTTAATATTAAGTCGGCAAACGGTTCACATCTACTTTACGTATAATCGAGTTTTTTCGTTACCCAGTATATCAGCCAATCATGTGAATGTCCGACCATTAACGCGATAATTACATGCGCCAGTATCCAAAATTTATATGACCAAAATAGTCATAACTGGTCATATAGCATAAATTTATAAGTCATAATAGGTCATAAAAGGTCATAATTTGTATTTAGACAATAATTAACTGCGCTCTAGCAAAAGATTTTTTTATAAACGAGACACTACCAAAAATTTACTTTTATTAAAAAAATCTTGCGCATTTGTCTTAAAAATCTGATTGGTGTCGATCATTTGAAAAGAATTATCTGTTAATTGATCTTCTATCCGAGTCAATTTTACTTCGTACTTGATGGCGGACACTCCAGACTCTCAGGGACCCGATATTTCAACCACTGCTAAATCAAAGAATGCTGACAAAAATGAGGCGAAAAGAAAAGCAAAACTTGAAAAATTTGCCGCAAAACAGGCGAAAATCTCTACTGCAAATAATGTATGTTTACAGTTTTTTTTTATTTTTTTATCTACACTTATTAATTACGGAATACTTATATAAAACAGGTAGCTGAAGGCGATAAAAAAAAGGAAAAAGAGAAAAAACCCAAAGCTGAGAAGACAATAACAAAGGAGGAGGAATTCATCGATGATACCCCTGTTGGTGAAAAAAAGGGTACTATTTTTGTCACGTTCTTCAATAAAAATTATCCTTAATTATTCCCTTAGATACATTGACGCGTAAATTGTAAAACATAATCTCTCATTGTCAATAGATATGTCCAAACCTATGGCTTCATCTTATAATCCTAAAGCTGTTGAGTCCGCTTGGTACACATGGTGGGAAAAACAGGGCTTCTTCAAACCAGAATTTGCCGCGGATGGTAAACCAAAATCAGAAGGACTATTCGTGATTCCTGCTCCTCCACCAAATGTAACAGGCTCCCTTCATATTGGTCATGGCTTAACTGTTGCTATTCAGGATACTTTGATAAGATGGTATTTAATAACTTAAACGTCAAGTGATTATCAAATTAGTGTTGAAATTTTATGGTCATCAATTGTTCAGGAACAGAATGTTGGGCAAAACTGTGTTATTTAACCCTGGTATAGATCATGCTGGAATTTCAACTCAATCCGTTGTAGAAAAGAAACTTTGGGCAGAGAAACAACAAACTCGTCATGATTTGGGTCGCGAAAAATTCATTGAAGAAGTTTGGAAATGGAAAAATTTGTATGTTTTATTGATCATGTTTTATTTTCAAACTTTTCAATACTAATTAACTGCTGTTATATAAAGGTACGGTGACAGAATTCATAATCAACTGAAACGTTTAGGTGGTTCATATGATTGGGACCGCTCTGTTTTTACTATGGACAAAGTATAATATTTAAAACTCAAGCATTGACGTGTCTTTCTGATTCAAATTTGGGCTTATATATATTTATTTTATATTTGTTCAGAAATTATCCAATGCTGTTACGGAAACTTTTTGTCGTTTACAAGAAGAAGGAATAATTTATAGGGCAACTCGATTGATTAATTGGTGTGTTAGATTAAACACCGCTTTATCAAATCTTGAAGTTGAGAATAAGGAATTAACAGGGCGTACACTCGTAACGGTACCTGGATATGATGTAAAAGTAGAATTTGGTGTTCTGACATCATTTGGATACCCAATTGAAAATTCTGGTCATTTTTACAATCTTATTCTCGCTGTTTACCTATTTGTCTTGTACTTGCCTTTTAATTATTTATGGTTTTAAATCGATCTAGACGAAAAAATAATTGTTGCCACAACTCGACCGGAAACGATGTTGGGTGATACTGCGGTAGCTATTCATCCCCAGGACGAACGATACAAGGTTGGTTTTTAATACACACATACCCGAATTTGATACAGTTATAATACGTTTTCTTACGTAAATTCTATTTTCAATAAGCATCTTCATGGAAAATTTGTAATCCATCCCTTTAATGGCCGTAGGATACCCATCGTTCTTGATGATATTGCCGTAGATATGTCCTTTGGAACGGGTGCAGTAAAAATCACTCCTGCACATGATTTTAATGATTATGAAGTTGGAAAGAGACATAATCTAGAGTTTATCAATATTTTTAATGATGACGGCACCCTTAACGAAAATGGTGGCCAATTTCAAGTAGGTCGAGCTATAGTACTATTTCATGTTTATAATTATTTAATACTAAAAAAATCATATGTCTTATAGGGCATGAAACGATTTCATGTTCGTAACTCCGTTGTAGATGCCCTTAAAGAGAAAGGCTTATTTGTTGGAACACAAGAAAATCCTATGACTATTCCTCTTTGCGCGTAGATATTCTATTCCCTTTTCTAATAATTTTAATTTGGTGTTCGTTATATAATAATTTTTGTATTACTTTAAGTAAATCTGGCGATGTAATAGAGCCCATTTTGAAACCCCAATGGTGGGTTAGTTGTACGGATATGGCACGCGAGGCGATGAAGGTTTGTAATTAAATTGGATGTGATAATAAAAATGTTGATACAGATGATCATTAATAATACCTTTAGGTTGTTACAGATGGAAAACTTCGTATTTACCCAAAAACTTCTGAAAAAGATTGGTTCAGGTGGCTTGGATCTATTCAAGATTGGTGTATATCTCGTCAACTTTGGTGGGGACATAGAGTCCCTGCTTATTTCATTAAGATAGCAAACAAAATTCAGGACGTAAGTAAAAATATCCTTTTTAATATAATAACTTATTTTTATTATTTTTATGTTAACTAATTATCATTATAGTCATCAGATGGTGCATATTGGGTGTCTGGTCATAATATTGATGAGGCAAATGAAAAAGCCAAGAAAAAATTTCCAAACGTTGAATTTACTTTGGAACAAGATCCAGATGTTTTAGATACGTGGTTTTCATCAGGACTGTGGCCGTTTTCGATCTTTGGTTGGCCTGAAATGGTAGTTTTATGAAATCCCTCATTATAATCAAATATCGTTCACAAATTAACCTAACATCAGAATTGTTTGCATTCTTTGATTTAGACTGATGACTTAGCTAGTTTCTATCCGACATCACTATTAGAAACTGGTTGGGACATTTTATTTTTCTGGGTAGCTCGAATGGTTATGTTAGGAATTAAGCTTACTGGGCAAGCCCCGTTTAATGAAATTTTTTGTCATGCAATGATTCGTGATGCACATGGACGTAAAATGAGTAAATCCTTGGGTAATGTAATAGATCCAGTAGATGTGATTCAAGGTATATCCTTGGAAAGTTTACATGCCAAACTATATGAGGGAAACCTCGATAAACGTGAAATTGAAAAGGCTAAGGCTGGTCAGAAAGCGGACTATCCAAATGGTATTCCTGAATGCGGCACAGACGCTTTACGGTTTGCATTGTGCGCCTACACTTCAACTGGTATTTTTTGTTTCGTTTTTATTAGTTTTTTTATTTAATTCTGACAGAGTACGTTCTCAAATTAAAAAAAAATTGGTCTTCAGGTCGGGATATTAATCTCGATATTCTCCGTGTGGAAGGATATCGTAAATTCTGTAACAAATTATGGAATGCTACTCGATTTGCTTTGATGAAGTTGGGAACTGACTTTAAACCAAGGCCCGACGCAAATGTAAGCTATACGTTCTATATGATTGAAGATTTTTAGAATTAATATCTAATTTACCAATAAATTTTACATAGATAACTGGAAAAGAATCACTTGCTGAGCTATGGACGTTACATAAACTTAACCAATCTATTATAGACACAAACAAAGCTCTTCATGAAAGAAATTTTATGAATGCTACAACAGCTGTATATAGTTTTTGGCTATATGTGCTATGTGATGTCTACATTGTAATGTAATTTTTGTAATTAGAAATACTTTAGAGCTTGGGCAAAATATTAATTTATTTGCAATCAAACATTAGGAACTGATAAAACCACTGACAGCAGATGATTCAATATCATCAAATGCCGAATGTAAACGTTCCGCTGAAGATACACTATACACTTGTTTGGAGGCTGGTCTCAAATTACTTCATCCATTTATGCCATTTGTAACAGAAGAATTATATCAACGATTACCTCGACGTCCGGGTGATGATAATTCAACAATCGTCAAAGCAAAATATCCGCTTGAGGTATTTTTATATTTGTAGGAAACTATTCACTTACCTATATAAAAATATATTAAAGACGGTATCTTGTGTAGATACCAGAATATCACAATCCACACGCTGAAGAGCAATTTGATCTTGTATTTTCTGTTGTCAAAGCTGCTCGATCCCTTATTGTTGAATATAATATTCAATCAAACGCATCGCGTAAGTCTATCACATTTATATTGTCTTTTTTTTTGGGGGGGGAAAATTCTTACAATTTTTCTTTATTCGTAGTTTTTATACAAGTCGCCTCTGATTCACTCATAACATTGTTTACTGCCCAAGAGCAAAGCATTGTCACTTTGACTAAAGGAGCAAAATCTGTCCATGTTTTTCAACATGGTGAAACTATTCCTGCTGGTTGCGCTTTAAGCACAGTTACTGATGAAATAAATGTATTGCTTATGGTTAAGGTACTCTTAATTTTAAGTTAGTAATTTACAATTCTCAAGTAAATTTCTAACGGTAAATGTAATTGTAGGGATCCGTAAATATTGACGCGGAGGTTGCAAAATTCCAAAGTAAACTTGATAAAACAACACAAGTATTAACAACGCTACAGAAAAAAGTACAAATCCCAGATTACGAGTCTAAAGTCCCAATAGATGTCCGTGATGCTAATGAAGCCAAGGTAAGAGCAGTTAATGATTTTGTTAATATCTTATACCGGTTTAATTAATGTGGTATTTTTTTTTTATAGCTCAAGGCCTACCAAGCAGAAATTGAAGCATTAAACCATAGTATTCAAAACTTTTTGAAATTGAAAGGTTAGTTTAGACATTAGAGATAAAATTAGCTTATTCAACTCTGCTCACGGCTTGCGTTAGTCGAACTGAATTGATTCTCTAATCTACAGACTAAATCCGAACTACTTATAAGTCACAGAACATGTCCACATGAGTGCTGTTACTTATAAATCAAATGAGTTGGCTTACCTCAATTTTATATGTAAATTTATGCAAAACAATCATTTAAAAGTTAAATTTAATTTTTGTAAAAGTACACATATAAATCTTTAAATTTTAAATATATATTTTTTTGGCATTTAATGATTTTTAGTTTAAAGTTTTAGTTTTTAATTTCAAGTAGTTTGAGATTAATCTTCTATTAAAGTTGGAAAAATTTTTATTATATTCTTTAAGTTAAATAACTAACACATCTTATACAATAAAGGCTGTGATATTTATTATCTAATATTCATTTACTATAGAGGTTTACTTCCAGGTAATAATTAATAAATTTTTAGCCAATTAAATTAAACTAAGGTAAGATTTTGTCTTGACCTCTTATTTTAAAATACTATATAATAAATATTAGTACTTTAATATGATTAATTAAAATAATTTTTTAAAAATTAAGCCTTTCTAATCTGTATTTTAAGCCAGGTGTTGCTACTATTTAAAGAAGATTTTATTAAGTAAAGATTTTTTTCTAGCTTAAATAAAGCTGTAGAGAAGATTTTTTTAATTATAATACTGTAGTAGTTAAATTATTAAAATTAACTTGGTGAATTTTAAAATATTTGAAATTAAAAAAGATTTACAAATTTATTGTTATACAAAATATAATTAACTCTTTGTAAATTTACTTTTTTGAAACTAAAAATGCAAACAAAACTTAAATTATCAGAACATATTGTATCAAAACTTAGTTATAACTACTGAAAATAAGCTATATTTTTTGGGCAAAAAAGTGATACAAAAATCATGGGGGTAGCTTATTTTCAGGTAAAATTTCAAAAGATTGATTTTTATTATTTTTTAAAAATCTATAAATAGTTTCTATATATAAAAGTCAAAATTCTACTAAGTAAATCAATAAAAGTCAATTAATAAAAGTTGTTCAAAATGTAAAAATACATATATTCTGAAAATTTTAAACAAATCAAAGAATTTTTTACTAGTAAAAAGTTCTCTGATTAAGTTATAAACAACTCTTTTTAACAATTACTAGTTTCAAATTTTCCACCCAAAGAAAAATAAATATTTTGTTAGAGATAAAGTTGATTCATATTCTAATGAGGTGGTTTCTGTAGAGGTTAGAAAAGTGCAGGAAATCACATACTGTAAATTTCGGAGCAAGGTATTCCCCTTAATCAGTACTCCTCTTGATTTGTACCGGGTACGTTGCAAGATTACTTAACATAGATTTTGTAAGAAACCCAGGTACAAATCAAAAACTAAGTAGATCCTACTTTTTTTTTTTTTTGCTAATACAAAACTTTTTTTTTATTATATATCATTTTTGCAATCAGTATAAAATTAACGATTTATTTTTGTAAAGAAAAAATAATTTTTTTAAACTTTTTAATTTTAAAAATTACCGGTATATGGGGTAGTCAATAGAAAAGAGCCAAATTTTTTCTAAGTAAAAGTTTTCTTGACTTTAAGCTTAAATATCTCAGCAATTATTTTATTAAATTTAATAATTATTTTTTTATTTTAATTCTTTATAATTTCAAAATTAAAATAAAAAAATTTTAAGCAAATTTGGTTAATTAGTTGTTAAGATATTTTAACTTAAAAATTAAAAAAATTTCACTAAAAACGATTTGTTTCTTTTCTATTGACTTCATCTCATAATAAATTAATAAAAAATTTATAAGTATCATAAATTTATAAAAATTTAGTTTTGAATTCAAGTCATTTAGTCATAGTGAGTTTATTTAAAATTTCAATGAATTTACAATTGCATTGTTGCAAGGTTATTTAATCTATTGATTCACAAATTTTTTTACTTCATTTTAAACATAGTAGGATTCAAATTCCATCTCTTGGAACAAGTAATGCTAGGTTATAAGATTTTGTTGGGGTGGAAGATATTGTTGGAATAGAAGGTGTTGTTAGGACAGAAGATGTTGTTAAGATAAAAGGTGTTGGGATAGAAGGTGTTGTTGGAATAAAAGATATTGGGATAAAAGATGTTGGAATGGAAGGTGTTGTTGGGATAGAAGGTATTGTTAGAACGGTTGAGATAAAAAGGATTGCTAAAATGAAGAGTCTTGTTGGGATAAAAAGTATTGTTAAGGCAAGAGGTCTTGGTTTGTTTTACTATCACTAAAAACTAATTCATTGCCTTAAACTTTATTGTTTTCAACTTCATAGTTTTCAACTTAATTATAATTAAAAATTAAATTTTTCTTTGATACATCACTTAAAACCAAAATACTACAGCATTTAAAAGAATGTTTGATTAGTTGGGGATCAATAGCATCCTATAAACATTGAATCCATTCTACAATAACATCATATAGTAGACGTTTGATTCGACTAGCTAGTATTAATTCCTTTATTTCATGTAACATCTATTCATTATATATAGATCTGATCTATTAATAATATATAGTTGGTAATTCAGAAAGTTTTTTTTGAAAAATTAAAAAAAAAATTCATATAAAACAAAAAAATTAATTTCATAATACCTTTGTTTTAAATGATTTGTTAATTGATATATCAAGTGGTTGCAGTTTTGATGTTAGCTTTCTAGGAATAACTACAATATTAGTATTCTTTTCAAAAAGATTATTTTTAACAGGAGAAACCAAGTGAACCTTGAATGAATCTATTATTAATAATGATTGTGGTATTATAGAACAAGTTAATACTGTGAGACATATTAGAGATTTTATTTCTATTAGATCCAGAAGATTGTAATGATCAAAACAAGCTACAATATATAACAAACAAAACTATTGGTTAGCTAGATAATACCTTTTGTACCTTTTATACCTTTTGTATCTTTTATACCTTTTGTACTTTTTATACCTTTTGTACTTTTTATACTTTTTGTACCTTTTATACTTTTTATACTTTTTATACCTTTTATACCTTTTGTATCTTTTATACCTTTTATATGTTTAGTACTTTTTATACCTTTTATATGTGTTGTAAAAGCTATATAAACTCTAGCTTTTATCTTTCTTGTACTAGAGGATTCGTTCCCTGCAATATTCTAAAATATTAGGATTCTATAGAAATAGATACCTATCCCTTAAGTTGTAGAGTTCGTGTAACAATTTTAGCTTAAAAATAGCATAAATTTAGTTATGATCTATTT